CGATAACTTAAAATGATTCACTCTAACTGTCATTAGAGTCAAATACAGTTTATTCTGGATTTGAATTTAAAATGGTCAGGGAGTGGAAAGCTAAGTTTACACGCGCTCCTTTCTTCTTCACATCCTTCCTTTGTAAGTTCCTTATTTACTTCCTTGTGTTCTGCATTTGTTCTTTCCCTTGTATCCTACCCCCATTCCCTCATTCCCTTATTCCCCATTTATATCCTACCTCTCTTCTTTATTTTGTCCTGTCCTTGTGTCCCTTTTTCTTTATTTCCTCATGTCCAGAGTTTCTTGTTTCCAAACTCACTTCCATCCTTTTTCTGATTTTTCTTAGATTTTCCAAGGCACAAGTAAACTAAGCTACAACCTTTGTGAGACCGTTAAGGGGGTATTTTTGCACTGAATATAAATATAAAAATTCAGATTTTCAAATTCTACTTGTACTCTTACAGAAATGTTTACAGGTTAATATAAATTATATAAATGATCTTAAGTTTGAGTAATTTTATAATTATTTATTAAAGATGTGTCTTAAATATTATAAAAATTGGGAGTGTATGGGAATCAAGTTATAGGCTAACTTTACCGCCAGAACAGATGAGTGAGTCAAAGAAATATTTTATTTTCTTCTTTTTATTTATTTCTTGAATGAGCTGAACTGAAAAGAAAACATGATAAAGCAAAACATATCCTATGATAAAATTAGTTCCATTGCTGCTTTACCAAATAACTTTGGATTCAACCTTCGACCATTTAAGTCATTTGGTAGAAGTAGGACCAATATTCTGCCCAGTATATACAGCTTTAGCCCACATATTTTATTTATTATCTGTGTTTTCATTTCCTGCAGGCCTAGTTTACCACAATATCAACCAGGGCTGCAAGATGATACACAGCTAATAGCAATATGCAGGACTACTGGTGAATGTTGTAATTATGATATGGCACGCAGTAAACAATTTAATACTTTCAATAGCTTTCTTCTTTGTGCCTAGACCACACAAAGAGCTCAGATGATGAGTTGTCTTTTTAGCTAATGGAAAACAAATATTTCAATCTCAACAGCAATATTATATTGGAAAAGCTACTTGAGGTATAAAGCTGAGGTTTTGTGCAAGGACATTTTTTTTTAATTAATGAATTTAAACCTTGTCATCATATCACCCCCCTAAAACATCTAATACTGCATTAAATAAATTATAGCCATACAAGTTATTGACACAGGGAATCAGAACTTAAAGGTATACTGGAGGATGTTCTTTTTCCGGGTGGATCATCAAAATAAGTGGTCCTCCTAACTGTCAATCCCCATTTTCACTTACCGGTGGTGAGTCTGACATAGAGGAAAAATCTTCTGAAAATCTTCTTTTGGAAAGTAAGCTTCCATGAGCAATGCAAACAACAACTTTTAAACAGAGTTTGCACGAGGAGAAATAGGCTTATGCATGATCTCACACACGTTTAATAGGCATTTTTTTTAGAGTCTTTTAAAAAAATTGTGAAAACCCGCCACTATACCTTTAATAGTACTATAATAAAACTGGGACTTTTCTTGCAGCAAGGTTTTTTTCTTTTTTTTTGCATTATTCCAGTAATACTGTAATGATAAGTTTGTTAAATATTGTGCGGCACTAATGTATACCTGCCATACTGGGATCTTGTTTATAGATGCAGTTTGGCATTTACAATTGAAATGACTTTGATCAAACTTCTTCACTGTAGTTAGGAAGGAGAATATATACATGGCTATTAATAATGCAGTGTCAGATTTATAAGAAACAACTCAAAACGGAGAGACAGAGACCTGTCGGGTTAAAAGGAAAATCTTTAGTAGATGAGGATTAGATGAAAAAAAATTCTTCAGAGTATAAGAAAATATCTAGATCTGCTCCATGACCTATAATTTAATCAATGATTGTTGTCATGACCAGTTTAATTTAATTGTTGTTATAATCCTTCTTTTGGGCACATATGAGGACGCCGCTTTCTATAAAACTGTTTTATTGTTAGACATTTTTCCTGATTAAGATAAACAAATTGAAACTAGTGTGTTTTTTGAACAAATTTGTGATAATTTAGAGCAAAAGACTGAAGTTGAAGCAGGTTTTCTGGCAATTCAGCACCAATTTGTGTCCTAGTTTCAGCAGCTGGGTCAGAGTAGGGAAGCTTAATTAATGCATAATAAAAGCATACATTTGATATGATCATATGTATCCTTTTGTAATTTAAAACCACATTTAACAAAAGTTATGATTAAGTGCTGCACACCAGACAGCATGTTGGTCCTCTGTTACAGAAGGGCTTTCAATCTGAGAGCTGCAGCGAATCAAGGGGGAGTGAAAGATTTATTGTTCATGGGAGATAAGACACATAAACATGCTTGCATACTAGTGCAGACCACACACCATGTGCACAGGAGATAATGCACACACTGCCATGTCATCATGTCCACAAACACACACTCACTGACTCGCTCAGCCAAATCTCGGGGTAACACTCATGGACATCAAACAGCATAGCTGGCTGGGATCACTGCTGCCCTCTCCTCCCTCCTCTTGACCTTTAACCTGATCTCTTCATTCTTGTGTCTCGGCGTCTCTGTCTTTCATCTCTCTCTCCTTCCCTTATACAACTTTTTGGTTCTATTTCTCATTTTGCACATGCATGAGGATTTTTGTCACAGCACAGACCACTGGTTTTAAAAGGAAGGTGCTTTGTTGTAATTTCTTTTTTTTTCTGAAGAAAATAAGACAAAAAACTCAAATGAATATAGCAGCAAATAACTAAAACCATTCAACACCGATTCAAGCAAATCCAGGTGTTCATAATGTCTCATGTACAAAATAAAGTTAAATTGGGACCAATACTGCATGAATATTAATCAAGACTTACATTATATATAGCGTGGACTGCATTTGTAATACTACATATGATTTAAAAGAAAAAAAAAACACATTGAGTCACCAGTAAAACTCTAGAATTTATAGAAATGGTGTTTGCTTTAAAATGAATAAGTAAATAAGCAACAAGTGATACAGATATTTGTATTGTATTTGTATATATATGTTTTTTTAGAAAAGGAACCAAGACCAATAGAGAAACTCAGACCAAATCACAGCTAAACAATTTCCAGCTGATCTGATTCTAATCAGATTAGCCTCCTGAATGAGGATGAGGAGTCCTCACCAGGGAGTCTTGAACGAATAATCGCACTGCTAAGCAGGCCAACTTAATCCCACATTATCTTTTGATAGATGATCACCTGAGTCAAAATTTAAAAGAACAACTCAGTTCTACAAAAATATTTTGACAGAATCTTAACTGGATTTGGGTCTGAACTTTGACTAGGCCATGATAGCACATTGGTGCTTTGACGTCAGCCTGGACTTTTGTATTCAGTATGGCTGAAGACTTATAAACTGCTTTTTACAATTTACCAACCCCTTGTTTGAATTTTATGCTTTGAATGATCATGTTCCTTTTATGATTAATTCATAACATGGATAGAAATATATTAGGATTTTGCCACCACAACATGGAAAAATATGCACAAGAGTTTTATTTTAAATTATACTTTATTTCATATAAAAACAAAACATTAAACAAATAAATTAGATATTTCTAAAATAACTCTCTGCTCGAGAACAGGTTTACAAATGGAGCTGGTACCAGAAGATTACAGGAATGTAAAAATAATTGCAGAATTTGAATGCCAATCTAAGAGGAGAAAAAAAGCATGTGTCAGAATAAGACGACCGAAAGTGAAAGACATTTTAACCAACACATGGTGGTAGGTTGAGTTTGGCTGCTGGAATGAAACCTTCCATTTTCATTTAAAATTGGTCACAAGCGTCGCAAGGTGATCACTGTTTGCTCTTTTTGAGGTCAGTTCAGGAGGAAGGCGTCTTTCTGTGATTTTATCTAATAGTAAAATATGTTTACAGCTGCTCCTGGATGTCAGAGCGGCAAATCTGAATAAAGATTTATAATTTAAAAAGACAGGAGGCTTTGGGGGATCAGGATTGGGGGTGGGGGGCATTACCATAATAAGAGCCTCTTCATTTGCACACAAGCTCAAACTAACCCAATGCACCCCTTCTCCTCAACTCCCCCAAAGTACTCCCTCTAGTCTGTAGTCACACCCATTAAGCCGGCAAAGCCCTCATTGTCCGGCCCGGCTGTGGACCTGAGGATCCCTCGCCACCAGATTGAGCTGGGTGAAGGGTTACAGTCAGACAATAGAGGGTCCCTCCCCCTCCTCCTTTATTTGAAATCAATCACACAGCCTTTCTCATTCAGACCCCCCCCCCCTCCCGCCCATCAGTAATGACAGTGGGCTTGGACCAGCTCCCTACACAGTCCTCATGCTAAACTGTCCATCCTCCTTTTCAAAGGATGAGTTCCAACCTGAACCTCAACTGATCCAGAAGGAAATTAAACAGAAATTTTATATTGCCATGGCATAAGAATTTAGGCTTTCCGTTTTTGGAATTATTCAGAAAATTTACTTTTTTTCAAGGGATCATTTAACATTTCTGAGTAGACCTACTTTTAAAAGCTTAGCGACCCTCTGTGTCTCTAGCTAAGTTAAAATCTCATCTGACAAAACCAAAGCAAACAAGAAACCGCCCTAGCCTTTACAAAGGATTCTCTTTGCATAGAAACTGATGAGTGTTAATAAAGGAAAGAGAGAGTAGAGGTGATGCACCACAAATAATCTTCCCATATGCATCACGTACAAATGTGGAACATTCAAACAAAACGTACACTCATCTTAAAACAACTGCTAATTTTGTTTAATTTATCTTTAAGTTGTCCTAAGGTTTGCAGCCAATGATTAAATATTAAAAAAAGCCTTTGATTGCACTGGAGGTGTTTCCCGTGTGAACTGCAATGGTTCACTTCCTGTTTAATCCTGTCTAATTGTCTAATACACAATTAAGGGTAAAAATTCCATACATTCACTGAAAACAATAATATTCTAGCTTTTCACTTCATTTTTTTTTTTGGGGGGTAGTGACTAACAAAATCCTTTAGATGTTCCCATGTTATTACCAATATCAACCCGCCTGAGTGGAGCAAAAAAGTCCCCAACATATTTTCCCCCTGCCATGAATCTGTAGGATTGCTATGGAGCAAACTTTGCTTCGCTGGCAGGCTACATGCACTGCTGCTACTTTGCTGTTAAGCATTTACTTAGTTTTTCCTCTTTATGCTGGGGTGACCGCAGCAAAGTAGAGACTCCTTTCTTTTTAAATGTGTCCCTTATTCTCCCAGTAGGGTGGGTGTCCCCCGTGATCTCCAGATGTATTTTCCCCTTCTCCTGCTCCCCTACGGTTTTTCAACATGCCATGTTACTTCTAATGTTATTACACAGGATTAAAGGCAGTAAAGCACATTATTACTGATCTTTCGATTCATTCAGGATGATCCAAAATGGAGCAGCACCTCAAACCTTCATCATTTTGATCTATCCATTTCTCCATATATGTGTGAAAGGCTTTTTAATATGTGCTTTTCTTGTTTTAGCACGTACCTTTAACTGATTTGGATTATTGATAAAGATCAAAGGTGTGTCATTTATCTACAGGTGATGCATTAGCTGATTATAAGGTTCTGCAAAAAGACCAAACCGCTTCTTTAGTTGTTTCCTTTATCTTTGCGATGGAGGTGAAATAAAATCAAAATGAAGGGTTTCATTCCAGCAAATTCTTCAAACATACCCAGCTGTAACTGTTCTAAACTTTTTATTATTTCTCAGCCTCTAAATGAGTTTAAATAAGTTTATGCAGCTGATTTGGCACTTTGTGTTTGAGGAACATTTTCTATCATTTCACCTCAGTATGTTCCGTTTTTCACGTCATTCAGAATAATTTATGCAAGGCAGTTGTTTTTCTGTCATAGATATGTACATAAAATATTTAACTTTTTAATATATTCACAGGAAATCATCAGTTCAGGCACTTTGCTGCCACCGCAGCAACTTCTTAACGTGAGATCCTGAGATTTAAGACCTTTGTTTTTAAATAAGTAATACAAATGTAAAATATTATATAGAGTAATTTATATTGACAATCAATTTCTTAACTTTTTAACATAGCAAAATAATGATCTTTTCTTTAAAATGTCCTCACAACCAAGATTTGAAGCCCTGGTTTTTGGGTGGGTGGAGGGTGGATGCAGATCTTTGTCCGTCGCCTCTCCAAAGGCGAGATAGAAAAAGCACTTTAGTGAGTTTTGAGTTTCAGGGTCTCTTCTTTTGAGTTTAGTGCCATGTTTCTTTTTAACGTTAGCAGCTGTTTCCAAGCAGGTAGTCCAGAGTTTTGCTTGTTCTTCTGAACGCAGAAATGTTTTTCTTTAGACCTCCAGGCTGTGAAGAAGCTTGCCAGCCTCAGTGCTCCATGTGTATGAATATAAATGCCTACTTCTATCTAAGGGCTTTAATAACAAAGTCCAACAAGAATTAAACCTTTAACTCAAGAAATGCAGCTGTTGACCTTCAGTTTTGGTACCAGGCGGCAGCTCAAGGCAGTTTCCACTCTGGTGTGGTGTTCTGGAGTCTATCTGAGAGCTGTTTTTGGGTCTATCCTAGAGCGAACGTCCTGGTAGGCCAGCAGGCAGGGGTCAGTGGACAAGGCATCGTGCGTAAAAACTGAGTCGTTATCTGAGGAGCAGGAACTGGAAGTGTCCTCACAAGATGGGGAGTACTGCTCAAATGGGGTGGACAGGTCCAAGTACTGAGAAGAAAAAGAAAAGGCTGGTGAGAAACTCTGATATCAACCATGGAAATATATGTAAAATGAGTAAGCATGCTGCGGTGGAGATGAATTTGGTCTCTTCTCTGAGACAGCATTAGACTTCCTCCCAATACATACATGTGCCACAACTACCTGTTGTACCGTGACTGTTTTAAAGCGGTAAAGTATTACATAAAAACATAATTTAAACCATTTTGTTCAACATTTGTTAAGATTTGCCTAAAAATATTGAGTCTAAGACCATAAAAAAAGATAAATCATTCAGCATTAAGATTATTTTCTTAGCTGAAGTTTCACAATTCTAGTGATTTATTTAGATCTGTAAACATTGAACGTCATGAGTACGAGTGCTGAGAATGCTCACCTCGTCAGAGATGGACAGCAAAGCTTTGTCCAGCTCCTCCACCAGCTGTTTGAACGTTGGTCTCTGGGTGGGAACAGCATGCCAACATTCACGCATCAGCATGTACCTGCAGGGGAAAGAGCAAAATGTCATCATATTACAATGTTCATTGCTATCAACATGGCATAGAAAAGCAAACATGTCTATTTGAGCAGATCAATTAGGAAGGATTTAAAGGATTTAAACTTAAAAAATTTTAAGCATACATCCAAACATGTCACACAAGCAGAAGTCTATAAATAGGATTCATTAAGGCTGCAGCAGGTAGGTCTATGGAAAACTGAAAAGTGCCACAAAATCATTAAATCAGAAAGGTGCAACATTTATATTTGTAAATCTGAAAATTTCAATGAGATGCAAAGTCTTTTTTTCAAATTAAATTTGAAGTTGCTATAGAATACATATATTTTTACTTCATGACCATATGCCTAAGACAGCATGAATTCATTTAATCTCTTTCTTTACAAATTTATTCTTGCTACAAAGAATTTAGTCATAATGACTTGGATTTGTAACTTGATGTGCTGCTGACTTACCTTGTGAACTTTGGCAAACAAAGCCAAAAAGGTTATTAAAAAATATATTTTTATTATTAGATACCACAATAATAAATTGACTGAGCAATAAACTGCATTGGTATAACCCAACCATAGTCTGACCTGACCACAGCAAAAGCTGTTATTATAATTATTAATTACAAAATTGAAGCTTATATATATATGATAATATACTGAATATATATTATATATTGAAGTGTTTTTCATATAACAGAACTGAATGAAAACATCCAAAGATTGACCTTTGAACCAGTCTGAAAGACATGATGCAGCATTGATGTTCTTCCTTTTTATCTCAGAAAAGAAATAGGCCAGAAAACTGAGCACCAGGAGAAGAGAACGTTCAAACTTACAGTTCATGTGTACAGTTTGAGGGCTTATCCATGCGGTGTCCCTCCTTTAGCAGCTTGAACAGCTCCTCAACAGGAATGCCTGGGTATGGCGAACCCCCCAATGTGAAAATCTCCCACATCAGAACACCAAATGACCACCTGAGAGCAGCCAAAAGGAAAAGATCAGGTCCAGGCATTTAGCTCTTGGAAGTCAAACAAAGACCAAATGCTCTTATAGATGAGAAGAGGAACTTACACATCACTCTGATGAGTGTAAACTCTGTCAAACAAAGCTTCCGGTGCCATCCATTTCACTGGCAGCCGTCCCTGCAGAGCCAGTAAAAACATGTTAGGTCTTACAGTCACTGAACATGGTTCCTATGAAGTCTTCAAATATCTGAAATCTGATTTTTTGTACTTTCCAAGTCTAGATATTTTGAAAAATAAAGAGAGTAAAAAGGTTTTATATTTGTAGATTTGTTCCCTTTCCTATCACCTGTCCACCCCCACTTATGTCCTTTCTTTCTTCCTCTTGTTGTTTATCATCATCTTTCTTTCTTAATTTCTTGTTGATCATTGACCTTTTCTACTATCTTCTTTCTTCCCAACTCCCCTCATATTGTCCTTGTGTCCCTCTTTCACAACTAAATCCATTCCTTCTTTCCTTCTTCCCAGGTCAGTTTTTTTGTTCTTAGTTCCATACTTACTTACACTGAACTCTACCAACAGTCATGATGAAGTTTAATGATTTTATTAGAAAAAGAGCTACAGAAGACTACAAACTGAAAAAACTGTGTCAGGGAGTTTGGTTATTTTACTTACTTATTAAGTACTTTACTTACTTATTAAGTACTTAACGTCTGCATGCACTGCAGACGTAAGTTCCAAACCCGTTACATAAAATTACATGCAAGTTAGATTAAAATCAATCACAGAAAACAACTCACACATAATTTGTTTTGACTAATTTGTTTTGAGGAGTAATAAAGTTGCTGATACAGTTACACCTCTAAGTGAAATCCTGGAATATTGTCCTCCACAAATCCTCAACTTTGTGGTCAATTGCTATGAAACCAAAACAAAATAAGAAGGACACCATGCAGCTTTCTACACCTTTCCCTTAATCTGATTAATTTGAACAAGAATACCCTAGATGGTCATTAAGAAACCATGCAATTCTACCATAAAATGCTTGACATAAACGTGTTTCAGCAGTGGACATTTTAATAAAAAGCATTTTTCCAACCAGCAAACTCCTGAAAAAGCAGTGGCAGAAACCGTGACTCACATTGGTGGTTTTCTTGTAGTAGTCGATCTGGTGGACGCCTCTGGCTAAGCCAAAGTCAGCAATCTTCATCACATTGTCCTCTGTTACCAGAACGTTCCTGGCTGCCAAGTCTCTGTGGATGCACTGCAGAAATAAAGACAATACGAAAACATGATTGCATGGCCAATGCTGTGTCCACTACTCCTGGTAAACCCTAATATCTTGATTAATTTGCTGCTCCTAATTCTGTTTTGTTTTTGGCAGAAATCACTCTCGATCTGCAGCAGACACCAAATAAGCGAGTAAAAAAATATGTACCTTCTTGTTTTAACAGTCAGAAAAGCTCTACTACTTTAAGACGCCTCGGTTATTCTTTCAAGACAGCCGACAGAAAATAATTACAGATTTTCTATCCAAATGAAAGGACTGCAGTCTAAAATCAACTCACAGTGCCTCATTGTAGTGAATTCCACAAAAATAAAAATGTCTTTTTATAGAAATAGAGTTTAAACACAACCATTCAGGAAGAAGGGAAAAAAGAAAGCAGTGTTTGCCCACATCGAATGTATGTCATTAAGTTTATTTTAGTTTTCATTCGAAATAGTCGAGGGATTTGTGGAGACCTGCAGAATGAACCACTCTGGGTTTGTGGGTCTCCCCATAATGGCGGGTTAGTTTCAGGCTCTGGCATTCTTAGGATGCAGCAGAGCCAGAAACCTGATGCCAGACAACGGCTATGCTCCGCTCGCCTGTTTGCTAACAGATTTATGGCAGTTAGCAAACAGGACAAAGCCCTGCAAGCAAAAGGGACAGGCAGATGGATAGGAAAGAGTAAACAGGACTGAAGCTGCGGCAGCTCGCTGCTCAGGAATGCCGCTCTGAGACACCGGCAAGCAGACACAAAGAGACGTGTTGATAAGAAACACTCACAGACGGAGTGCATGCTGGGAAAATGAAAGGAACTGAAAAATGGGGTGAGGGGGCAAAGAGTAGAAAGAGAAAGGGAGGAGAACAGCTGGTCCTGCCATCGGGATTCAGGAAGAAACAAATCAGTTTGAGGAGCCAAAATGCAGTTTAATGAGTAAACATCAAACCCTCGTCATTAAGCCATTAAAACCTATTCAGAACCTACAGTATAATTGTCTCGATTTGGCACAAAGGAGGAGGATTTTCTAACTTTCTATGCTAACCACAGGTAGTATCAAAGCTTATAATATAGTTTTCTCCATTTTATGGGCTAAAAACTGGAAAAAAAAGTCTCATTAAAACCGGATAATGCCCTGAATGTAATCAGAGAAAGAAACAAACAGTTTATTTCTGTAGGTTTTGCTATGTTTTAATTGCTCCATCAACCATGTTGAAATTGAACTTGGGGCTCTGGGAAGACCTACAACTCTAAGAGCTGAAATGTTCTCTAGCCAATAAATTACAACTGGAACACATTAGTGATGCACAGAGAAAATGTCTGATGGCTAAAATATTTTTTTAACATAACTTACCTCTTCTAGCCGGATAGAAACTAGCATACCTAATTATCAGATTTTGCTCTTTGTAACCGTTTTAGTGAGTGTTTAAATGAAGTTAGACCATCAACTGAGTATGAACTATTTGATGTACATTCATGTCTGCTGTATATTAAGGCTGCTATCACCGACTGGAATATCAAGATTACAGTCCAATGGGTATAATACTGCTGTTTGTCATCCCAAACAAATCAACACTTTAGAGCTGAAATAGAATAACATATTGCCATGAAGCAACTAAAAATCAGTAGCAGTGCCATTATCCTGCAGTGCCTCTTTAGATTGACATCTATAAAATGCTCATTGAGAGATTTACAGCTGTTCAGATGTCATTTCCTCCCTTTCATGTGAACCCACCCTTTTTGAGGCCAGGTACTCCATCCCTCTGGCCACCTGGTAAGCACAGGAAAGCAGGTCTTTGAAGGTGAGCTGCTCCTCAGGCACTTTAGTCACATCAAAGGTGTAATCCATGCCTGGAGGTCGCCTGGCCCGCAGGTACTCCCTCAAACTGCCTTTGGAGGCATACTCCACCACCACATACAAGGGGCCTGTGGGGGTAGGGGGATATAACACAAGATGAAGAACTGTCTATGTTCTGACTGTAACCTCAGGGTTTGAGATCACTCAGGTTGGGAGACAATAAATTAGGTTTTAAGAGACAGGAAGAGTACTTGAAGCTCACCATCCTGTGTGCAGACCCCCAGTAGGTTGATGATGTTCTTGTGTTTGTCCATCACTTTCATCAGCTCCATCTCTGAAATAAGGTCTGCAAGGTCTTTGTCTGTGGCATCATCTGAAGGAAAAAAAGCAGGTTATGACTTTTAGAAAAACAGGCAACAGATGAAAACTTCTCATTTATTTTGTTAAGTGAGTCTTTTTATATTTATTACCTTTGAGCATCTTGACCGCTACAGTGGTGGCCTGATCCGGGCAGTCCTTGTTGATGCCAAAGGCTTCAGCCCTGACCACCTGACCAAAGCAGCCCTCTCCTAGAGGTTTTCCTAGTGTCAAGCTAGAGAGAGAAAATAAGCATGTCCAAATAAGAATTGTACAAATCCATAATTTGAAACTCTGGTTTCTTAAACTACAGGTTGGAGAGAGCCAGAAATGGGCTATTTTATTTTTAGGTCCCCAGAGGATTTGAGAGCTGAACCTTTTACTGAGTCTTGATCCCGGCAGCCAAATGAAACATATTTATCCTCACTGCCATTTAGGTTTTTAAAACACAGCCTTTAAAAGCACCTCACTGTTGCGAGAGTTTCAAGGATTTTGAATAATGAAAGATTTGCATTTATGCAACATCAATGCTTACTTTTCCCTGGGAAACTCCCAGTCTGGATCGTAGGGCAGCTCAAACTCCATCACTCCAGCCAGCATGGGGGAACAGCCGGACGAGAGGCGAGCCACCCTCATCAGAGATGCACTGGACTTTCCAGAAGAGTTTGATTCCACTGAATACTTTAGGAAAAGAAAATTCAAATTTATTAACCTCCCTTTAAATCATACGTACATGCAGGTTGCACAATGTTTTTTTTTTTTTTAGAAGTAGCAGAAATATATATAATGAATCCCGACAACTAGCGATTAGTGAATATGTATTACGTTTTAGAACCATTAGAAGACAAGATGAGTCTAATTGAGTGCCTTTCCATAGTTTATAAATGTTGTACCTGTCTGCGAAGAGGAAACTTTGAGAGCTTCTGTACAGGAAGGGCATCAAAAGGCTCTCTTCTTGGGTGCACCTGCATCCGACACAGCACCACAATGATGATGGCCATGATCAGAGCCACGAATCCACAGGCATAGATGATGATGTCAGTGTACTTGGTCTCCATAGCTTCCATTGACTCAGCTTCTTCTTCTGTAGAAGCAATGATATAGATGGATTTAATCCACAAGATATAACAAATCATAATTGCTTTGTTTCTGTTGCAAATAAATTTGAAACATAATTTCTTTCCTTTCATACCTGAAATCACAGTGAGCCAGGCAGACTGGTGGGCAAAGCCGATGGAATTACCGGCTAAGCAAGTGTATTCTCCTGCATCCTCCATGGTAACTTTGAAAAGGTAAAGCACCTCCACCTCTGACATGTTCAGACTTCCAGTCTGCAAGACAAAAAAATGCAACATTATAGATGTATATATTTGAGAGAGAGATTTCTTTTCTATCTGTTCCCCGATTGATACCAACCTTAAGGACCTGAACGTAGGGAGTCCCATCAGGACCATAGCGACTGCCATTTCTTTCAATGTGCTTTAGCCACTGAATATGAGGCTGAGCGTCGCTGTAAACCTTGCAGTGGAACTGAACATCGCTGCCTACCACTGCTGTGGTGTTGGCCGGTAAACCAGCTTGCAGGATAGGCCTGTGGGGGGAGCGTTCTGTAAGAGGATAAAACAAGACAAAGGGCACAGTAAGGGAATCAGAACATCAACCATGAATTTGTAAATAGCTCTATTGACTAGACACTAAGAAAAGTGCTACAGATAATAGTTTAGCTTTGAAAAGTCTAAAACAAAGACTTTTAGTGAAAAAAGTATAAAGAGAAGTGACATTGAGAAAAGATGAAATAACATCACACAGCAAGGGAAACTTTGGTATTTTGTAAACAAATGTCTAAAAATAGCCAGAAACGTTCAAATTCTTCTCTGAATGTGTTTTTGTGTTGGCAATAGAATGAGAAATGTCAGTTTGGGATCAAAACTGGGCCATTAGAATGCCGCACTGGCAATGGTCCCTTTGATCTGCGGTCACTTTCTGATCTCATTAGTTGTCTCATTAGTCTCCACCTCTTGTCCCCATCAGCAGGGTTAGAAATTGACCCCATGCAAAACAAATGAACAAATAACCTGCAGCACTCTCCTCAGCATTTTGTCACAAACCAGGGAGAAAACTGTACTGGATGCTCATCACAAATGGAAGGGACCAGATTTCGGTTCACCTGACCCTGGTGGGTAAAGCTAGACACTCTCTTTTAGTGTCTTCAGGTTTTTTCAGTTATTTGTTTTAAATAAATCTTGCTTATTTATTTTACTTGTTTTATTCTTTTAAACTGCTTTGTTGTCTTTACAGCATTTCATTTTATTGTTATGTGCAACACTTTGTGGCAGCTGTAGTTGTTTTAAAGGGCCATACAAATAAAGTTGAAATGAGTTCAACCATTGAAATAATACATTTTTGCAAGTGCTTAATAATGCTTTGGCTACTATCAGCCAGATAACATATTGTCCATTGCCCTTGTTTTTCCACAAATCTGATGAAGAATCATCCATGTCTTACCCAGAACATCGAGAACATAGCTGTGAGTAATGGATCCATATTTGTTCTCCACCACGCACGTGTAGTTCCCTCTGTCTGAGGGTACAACGCTCTCCATCACCAGGCTCCAGTGCTGATGTCTTAGCTAGCCAAAAAGAAAATATATATGTATAAACTTATAAATCTCCTTAACTAGAAACACTTAAGAAGATCAAAGTCTTCCACAAACACTTACCTTAATTCCCCCGATGCGGTGCTCTCCTCTGAACTCACGTCCGTTTTTGAGCCAGCGAATTGTTGGTATTGGACTGCCCATTGCAGGGCAACGAAACTTCACAGTGTTTCCTGCAGGAACAGCATAAAGCTTCTTTTCCATACGCTGGGTGTGGGTCCAATAGGGACCTGTTGAGACAAAAACCAGCAAATAAAGCCTTTGTAAAAAAAACACAATGTTATATAAGGGCTGGAAGATGTTAACAAGACCAATATAAGTCTTTAGCCTGAGGAAACAACCAAATCATTAAGGCTTGAGCCAACCCTCAACAAATTTTAGATTTCCAAAAACTACACACCTCTGGAGAGGTAAACTTGGTCATTCTCAATTTCAGCAGAGGAGTCCTCCAAGCCACTGTCCTCATCATCGTCCCCTGAGCCTAGCATATCTTGAAACAAGACAGAAAGTCAATACAAAGATCCAAATACCACTGATGAGGAACAATCACATTTTCTGTCTAAAAAGGCCAATGGTTGGTTCCTGTTACCTGCCACAGTGATGGTGAAGTTCCTCACAGGGTTTTTGCTTCCCCAGAGAACACACACATACAGTCCTGAATCCTCGTATGTCACATCTGTGATCTCCATGATTGCACCACGCATCTGGATGCGGGGTGTAGGTAGAAGCCGGACTCCTTCCTTGTACCAATTCACAGCCATGCCCGGTCGGATGTTCGTGTCACAGCGCAGCTTCAGGATGTTTCCTGGCTCCAGAAGAAGATGCTCTGTTGTGTCGTCGCTATGGTCTTGAGAAACCTCTGTTGAATTTGGAGATGGTGACAGTCCAGTTATGCAAATTTTCTCTGATATTTTAAACCCACTTCCCCTACCAAACCCTAACCTTAACTGGTCTCTTGGATCAACCATTATGTCATCCTGGCCATATGTCTCTCAGCTCCTCAAAATCTAAGATCTGAGTACAACAGACCTACCATAAAACCAAATTCATAATGACCTGACCTTCCACTACACAACCCCTCCTCTCCAGTGGATAACTGGGAGACAGAAAGCAAAATGATAGCAAATATCCATCACTTATAACCCAGAAAAAAAGGTAAAGAAAACTAACAAGCAAGAGGACAGGAGGAAGTTAATGAACATGCTGCCATCGGACAAAGGATGGAGAGGGATGGTGAAGTGTTAGTGTTTAGTTAAGGTCTAGGTAAAACAGAAAACGGCCACGGCCATTTCCATTTATCCATTGTCTATACTGCCTGATTCCCTATAGGGCTGAATGTTTGCCTCAGTGTGGGAGAGGCAAGGAATAGATCCCCAATCAGCCACAGGGCCACAAGGAGACACAGGAAAAAGCATAGACACTCACACCCAAGGCAATCTACTGAGACCCGCTAGCCTAAAATACAGCAACTGTGGTGGGAAGCTTTAGAATGGAGAAATGCCACACATGCATAGAGAGAACACGCAAGCACCATGCAGAAACCTCCCAAGGTTTCAACCATGGAGCAGTAAAACTTGTTAAAGTTACCTGTTCGGATGTCAGCAGCAGTCATTTCTACATTTCTAGAATTGATGATACCTATGAACAAGATATGTCGTGGTTTTAAACACTGAAATGTCATATAAACAACAGTAGATGAAAACAGATAAGCGATAAGACTTTCTCACCAGGCAGGACTTCCAGCCATGCGGATTGCATTGCCTGAACTGTCTGTCCTCCATGGACACTCTCAGCCATGCAGATGTACTCGCCTGCATCTCCCATGGTGATATTGGACAGATGGAGAGTGTTGACCTTGGGGCCATTACTTTTCAGGGACTGCATAAAGAAGATCATGTTTCATCATTACTCAACATAATAAATAGAATTGCAGAGCTTTTTCTAGATGCTACGGATGTCTTCTTACTGTCAGGGGCTTGATGCGAGATGGTCCTCCTTGGGTTTGTCCTGAGCTGCTTGAATCTGTCTTTAGCCATTGCACCTTAGTAGATAGTGGCCTGTGGACTTTGCACAAGAGTTTTGCTTGGCCTCCAACTACCGCTGTGGTGTTTTCTGGATACCCTGGTACAATCAGAGGCCTGGACTGACGAAGATCTGGAGAACATAAAGAGGTGGAAATGGAGAGGAGTAAAATGAGTACTTGATTATTATATTTAATCTAATTTATGGAATTTGTTTGGCTTAATTTATGAAGAATACAGTCTAAATAAATTGTTTTAAGGTGGTTTGATTTCAGATCACTTAAAATAAGAGAAAATATAAAAAAACATGCCCTTTACCTCAGTATAAACCAAAAAGAGGACACCATGTTCCTAAATAACCACGGACATTTAATGCTGCCAGAAACAAGTGATAGAGTATCCTGATAGCACAGCTACTATGGTGTCACTATCAGCTTGAGGGGGCCACTTTTCCTAAAGCATATCTGCTCCCTGGACAGAGCCTCCTGCCACTGCTCCGTCGCTCAGGATGAGCAATTTTCCAGGGTAATTTTCTGTCTGATTGCTTCCTGCGAGCACTAAGTGAAAGGGCAATCTGTTCCCTTGTGGCAGTGAAGTGCTGCCTTTCTGTCTAATCACCCAGAGTGCATGCAGGTAATGCTTTCAGGAACAAATAACACATGTACAGCCTTGTTAGTAGGAAATCAGACACAGAGATTTGGTCAAATGAAAGAAAGCACATTTAAAGAAACGTGACAAAAATCTGTTTTATATGCGTTTTAAATGCAAGTTTAAATAACCAATATCAACAGAAGAGCTGCATTTTTTTTATCATTATTTAGAATAGCCAGTTCAGGCTGCTGCTGTGAATCAGAGGTAGAAAGCATTAGGGCTCCTACCCATTCTTGAAAAGTCTGTTGTTGTTTTTTTTCATTTTGATTGCGTTTTCTGTCTGCGATACAATAGGCGAATAGTGAACTACTCTAGATCCAAAGTTAGTATTGTCCTCATTCTGCTGAATGCCTCTTGATTGTCCAGAATCTGATTAAATCTGTCAGAAAAATGTAGAAATACCATTCTGAAAAGGTAGCCAAAGGTGGGGAATTTGCAAGCACCCCAAACTACACAGTCTGCAGCCTTGCTAATGAACTTGCTAAGACAGTAACAGTGCCCTGGAGTTGAACTTACAAAGGAGTGTGAATTGTCACCCAAAGATGAGGGGGCAAACAACAAGAGACACAACACAAACAAGCCGCCCAATCAGTCGGTCAGCCAGCCAACCAGGCTGGCAGCAAGAGACTCAGAAAGCTGGGACAATGAAAAGAGCTTGATGAGCCGACCCAAAAATGCACCAAACAACAATCAGCTATTTCTATCTGCTCCCCTTGAAACCAGAGGAATGAAACAAAACTTAAAAATGACTCCATCCTTTTTCTGATTGCTTTAAAAAAGCTAGAAATTGTTTGAATATCATTCTCTAAATACGTTTAGTTCTTATCTGTACATGGCCTACTTCAGTAATGCAGCTGTGAGATCCGACAATTCAATAGGTATATTTGGTCAAGAAATTGCTATAAGAAAAAAAAAAATCAACTGAACCAACTTGCCATTACCGACAGTCAGAGCAATAACCATAAAGTTAAACATTTGGATTAGTTATAAATACAGATTTATGACTGTATGAGCTTTTGTTAAAATATATAAAGCCCCTAATAGAGAGCTGCAGGAGAAAGGTGAAACTTAGGATCACCATTTTGTCATAACAACCCATAGATGTACAGCTGATTTTAACAACAATTGCTCTACAAAGGTTAAAAACAGACACCAAAGAACTAGAAACACACAAATTAAATGACAATCTAAAGAGAGGCTACAGTTCTCAGTCTGTGGATCTTAACAGAAACATTTCACAGGCTGGTAAAGACCACACATAAGAATGACAAAACTCAGGTAAAGTGAGGATATTTTGCATGCTTTGTAATATTCCTGACAGCTAACAAAAAGTGTAGCCAATACACCAAAATGGATCAGCTTGGTTCTGGTGGCCAAAATATGTTTTTTGTATTTCTTAATCTACAAACAAAAAAGAAATTAAATAAAAAGAGATAAATGTTTGTAGGCCTTCCTTCCCCCCTGTCTAAAATAATTTCTGTATAGTGTGCACCACAGCAGAACTAACCTTTTTAAGAATCCTCAAAGAGCACCTCAGACAAAAGATAAATCCAAGAACAGTTCATGTTCATGTCAGACAATGTAAGACATTTCTGTCAACAGGCTGTTTGAAGCATTTGAAGGAACTCCCTCATGCACACCGTTACCTGAACAACAAGCCATGGCTGGCCCCTGTGGCCTCTGGGGGCCCCATTCTTTTTTTTGTCTTTCATCTGTTTCCACATTTCCATGGAAATGAATCATCCTAGTGTTTAAATCAGACTTAAAAACTTTGCACCACTAATGATAAACAGCCCTCATCGCTTTAGCTTTAACTCTAAAACTTGCTGATTGGCAGAGAACAATTAGACTGATTAGCTTTTTGCTGAACAGGAACAGTGCACTGGGACTGTAAACCAACAGCGCTGGCCTAAAGCCTGAACGTCTGCCTGTAAAGCATCAGTGAAAAAAAGCCCCTCCCCTCCCTATCCTCTGCAGCTGGCACGCAGCCAGGCAAATTTACACTTCCGAGCCCCAGGGCCCCGGATGGATCAGGTAGCACACTTTACAGCAGCAAAAACACTCTGACTCTCAAACGCATTCGACTCTTTCGCTCCATCCGAACCCCGACCACTGCCCCTCGCCTAATCTGTGCTGTCATCCTGACTTCCTCTGGACTCGTGCCACTAGAAACTACATCCTTCCTAGGAGAGAGGATGTTAGGGATGTACTCTGATAATGCAAGAGGTAATATGTAAGTTATATGCAAACAAAAGCCCCTAGAGAGATAAACTGTCTCAATGACTGTGGGATAGATGCTTCAAGTTCTGGAAATTGAATTCATTTAGGTTGGATTTTTTTATGCAGGATATACAGAAGGTTGTGTTTAATTTTAACTTGGACTGAAAAGGGTGCATGACTTTGTAAGTTGTCTTACCTTTGGTTCTCATCCCAGGAACACTTCTGACTGCAACTCTGTCCACCAGGCAGATCAAGAGAACACAGAATATGGAGTCCCACACCATCTTCTAGATGCAATGCGTTGATGTTTATGGTTTAGATGCAAAAACAAAAGGAAGCATGGAAATGGCCTCACGCTCTGGTCTCCTGCATCAGGAACTTCAGGAGGCCACAAAAAAAGTCTTTAAATCTGGATCCTGCAAGGGTAAACAAACCAGAAGACAGATAGTAAGATCTCTGAGGGTCAAAACCCTGACTGTTTGAGGAGACCTGTCTACAGAGCAGCTAAAGACACAAACCTTCTTGTTCGGTTTGAGGCTAGATGTCAAAAACACAAACAATTGTCCAGACAAATAGCTGTAGAGAGTGGCTGTTTTGACTGTAAGCAGCTGTATTCTTAACCAGATGTCCTGCTAACTGTCCTACTTGTCTGTCCCACATTATCCAGGCGCTCCTGCATCATGAATAAGAAGCAGGGCTGTTACTGCCTGTTGTTTATCAATGGATGGCGCTAGGCTAGCCTGGGGATAATGGGTCCATACTGGGAAAACACTTGAAACCTGCCAGGGAGCGGCATTATGCCTGAGAAAATGTCTCCAAACTCACTGTGGGCAATTTCCTCAAAACACCAATACAATATTCAAATCAGAAAGAGATGATTTAACATTTACTTGTCATCATGGAAATGTGATGCTTTCTTTAAAGTCATGTGCTAACCTGGTCCTAACAGATATATTTAGAGTCCAGATCAGATTATAAAGAATGTAATCAAGTTAATGTTTCTAACTTGTTGGTTTGGTGTCCATGGTGCTATGATGATATGGCTAGGAGCACAGGGTGGCATCCTGTGATGGGGCAATAGCAGCCTACCAGTTTTCCATTGCATGTTATTATGGACACTTGATGAGGATTCGATGCTTTGATGCAAGAAAAATAGTATGTTAGGCAATCAGGCTTAGGGTGGGTTAGGATTAGCTTATTCAACTGTATTACACTCAGTTATAATAACTACAATATAATGTACTTTGGGTCCACTAGACTAAAACTGAGCTGTTCAGCAGAAAGCACCATAGATAAGTTTTTATATGACACAAAAATGTAATGCGTGGGGAAAATATATCCTGGTTAATCATGGCAGATTTTCTTCCAAGGAGAAGGGCATCAGTGAATTGTTTTGTTATTTCTTATTATTTTTGTTCATTTGTACTGGAGGTGCTAAGAAATGCCGGTTGGGGAGGGTTTGAATTCAAATGGAAGCCCAAAAATTGGTCTTATAGACTCCAGGCAGACTATAAACAGTGTCTGGTTGTAAGAGAGCTAAAGGAATAATGCAGGGATTTTTCATTCTTTTTTTTTTCTGAGGCACGCTGCGCCAGCTGAGCTCAGGCGCCAGACCCAAGCGGCGCATACACACATTCCGTTAAGAGAACAAGCTTTACTGAATGAAACGTATTATTTTTCAATTAGTGACTGGAAAACTCCCCCCCCCCCCCCCCCCATCTCTCTCTCCTGTTGCTGTTAATTCCTCTCGATGGCGGCTGAACTTCAGCTCGAGCCAAAAACACTTCCACTGTATTCTGCTTTTATTTATTCAGAGAGAAAAACGGAGGGAAGGGGGCTTCAATGGCCTGTTTTTATAGTTAATGCTTAATAAACCTGTTCGGTTGGTCAAAAACATTCAGGAATGAAGGAACACCACTTCTATTTATATACCGTACCAGAACTGAGTGGGTTTGTATGCAAGGATGCTGGTTATGTTGTCCTATTGCTATTTCATACCTAGGGCAGTTGTACCAACCATTCCTCAATTCTCACACTATAAAAACAAATTTAGAGTTTTAAAAATCACCCATCAAAAGTATTTAAACCTAAATAAAGCTTTTTACCTTGTATACATAGAAATTTATACTGGTAATCTCTAAGTATCAGATACACAAACAAATCACATCAAAGCATCCAAATTAGAACTTCATGTAGGATGCTTGTTGACACAACTAGATTGTGCTTGTGACGATTCTCAGTCATCCAGGTCATAGCTATTCCAAAAAAGTAAAAAAAACAAACAAAAAAACCCCAAAACGCTGGACTTTGTTTTCCATCCAGACATTTTCAATTGAGAAAGCTCTCTGGATGGGAAGCGAAACATCTTCAAACTTGGAAAACAAAGTCCAGTGGTTTGTTTTTAATTGTTTTGTAAAAACAACTGCACACCCTGCTGCATTGATTGTAAAACAGTAAGGGAGACATTTATATCTCCTGTTGTCTTCAATGAATATTAACTTCCCAACAGTTAAGTTTCAGAAGATTTGTAAATGGGAAAGTTTCAGAGCAAGCACTAGTACTAAAATTAAACTTGCCAGCAAGTTTCTTTCTTAACCCTAACTCTAATATTGGTATGAAATTACCAATCTTGGTTGTAAAGGAAAATGTTATTGGTGCCATCTCTCACAATAGATTTTCATAGTTTGAATTCCTCCTTAATTAGATTATCTCAAGCACTCATACTTAATGCAAATTGTTTTTATAGTTGTTGCTTGATTGGGCATTCTAGTTGTGGTTGTGAAGAAAAAAAAAAAAAACACAAAATCAGTCTTTGCTAAGGAATGGAATCCATGATATTGCATGGCTGATTCTAGTTGTCATTATCAGTTGTTGCACATGACATTGATAAAAAAATGTAATCTTATTAGAATATAATTAAAAGCTTTATTACTATTTCAGTAATATTTTGTGTCTCATTTGCAAAGTAAACCCTCGATTCTTGGGTAATATCTCGTATGAAAGGACAAAACAAATAGAAAAAATTATCCTAACCTATAGTGTTAGCCCAATCAAATCAAACATGACCTCATAGTTTACATTCATCTAGCTGTATTTTATCTTATAACATTTGTTTTACTTCTGCAAAGGTATAATGATAAAAATCTGTTCTAATAACCTGTCCAAAATGTTACACCAATATTACAAATTCTACCAGTAAGTTTTTTTTTAGTGTACCTACTTTGCAAAACACACTGTGACAGCTGAGGCTCTTTATCATGAAATTTTTGAGTTTTTTTTTTTCTTTAATCTGCACTGGTCTGCAGTTAGATGCTGGTCTTTAACTCCAATAAATGATAGGCTTCATAATTCTGAGTCGACTGAGCCAAATAGGGACCAAAATGAAATATGGGTTATGGAAAGCAGCTTGCTGCAAAAATCTAATTAGCCGTGACATTCGAGTATTTTGTGCAAACTTATCCCCAAAGTTCTGCAAAATGTATGAAGAATAAAATTATTTATAATGCGTGCATCCTGTGATCACGGATAGTAATGGAAAATGACAGAGGCAACTTTAAATCTCAGTGCGAACTGACCTGGAGCAGGTTTGGTGTTTGACGCCTGCGCGCCTCCACCAATCAACAGCTTCAATTAAACCGATCGGATTGTTGGAAACATCCGGAGATCAATTTAAAGCTGAATGCAGTTTCTAAAAATCAATAACTTTCGTTTTTTGTCTTATTTAAACAATCTGTTAAGTCATATTAGCGCCTGAATTGACAGAATGATTCCTATTTTGTTCGTTTTTTTTGTTCCCTTTTTAGATTTAAGGCTGTTGTGACAAAGTTCAAACTGCGCTCTCTGTAACAAGACATGTTTATCTCGTCGAATAGTTGTGAAAGGTTTAGGAACAGCTGATTCCAATAGATTTGCAACATTTTATACAAAAATAAATTAGTAAGAAACAACTGTGCCTGAAGATTATTAGAAAGAAATAATCAAACATCCTAGAAAATGTATTGTTCAATCATTGTTTTGTTTTTTTTTTTTTAAATAAATAAATTATTTAAATTAACAGACAGGTGAGTCTAGGTCCAGAATGCTCTTTTAACCCACCTCTTCTCCCGGTTTGTTCCTACAGAGAGGACTGGCACCAGAGGGGGGAATAAATCACTCCGTGTCCCGTTCCGCTCCTGGGAAAATTGAAATGTTCATTGAAAATATGCACTATCCTTCCATAAAGGGAGTCCGTGAGTAGGTTGTGTGGCTCCAGATCAAATCAAAGTGGTAGAATCGAGGGGAAAAAGCTCCAGGACCATGAACAGCAGCTGCTCCGGAGCTGGTGACCGGGGGAAGGAGCTGTTATCCCCGGGGGCAAAGTCCGCGGCTTGTCGCGCAGCTTACAAATCCATAAAGAATTCAAAGAACGTTTGTTTTGCAAGAATACTTAAAAATATGAAAAAAAAAAAACTTTCTTAAAATATCATCCAAACTGGTGAAAATTGTAGATTAATTGGAGAGAAAACGTGTCCCTTTGGTTCCACTGTACCGTCCTAAATGCGCCTTTACGCAGCGCTTCTGGGAGCTCTCCGCTTCTGAATAAGGATCTCCTGGAACAACATAGATGCTCTGCGTCTGAGCCGCGGATCTGAAGCCTTTTCTAGACAGTCAGCTCTTTAAGGTGCAGAAAAAGAGGCGAACGGCTGCGTCCTCCGCGCACCAGACCTGCAACAACACTCCGCCGTTTTCCGGACTGCAATCACAACAATGGTCTGAGAGAGGCCGGGAGAGCAGCAGGAGGAGGGAGGGAGAGAGAGGGGGGAGACGGGAGGGGGAGAGGTATACCCCTGCTACCCCCCACCCCTTATACCACAGCGCATAGAAAATGCTCCCATCCCTCCGCTGCGAGGAGATGGCACAGTCAGACCCTCTCCCCCTCTCCTTCTCCACAGCGCGATGAAGAAATCAGCAGTTATCCAAAGAGGTTTCAAATCTTACTTCATTACCCCCAAACAAAAAAACAAACAAAAAACAAACCAACAAAAAAGTCCAAATTAATATCATAAATCACTCAGTGGAAGGAGTTCATTATAAAGTAATATAATTTATAGCGCTTTAATTGCTCTTTAGAGCTCGCATTCAATTAACGGGAAAGCCTAATCCCCCCATGTAAATTGTCACTATGTTTTAATTGCATTAAGGAAAGAACAAAGCTGAGTAATCCTGTTACTGCGGTAAAGAATCAAGATAAATCCGATAAATCCCTTTTTTTTATCATCTTAACAAGCTGAGCCTTAATGCCTCCCCTCATTTCAAAGCTCTGGGTAAATTTCACTGAAAATAATTAGCATTTCAACATGGAAGATGAAAGTATTTTAACGCCCCACTTTGGCAGATTAAGCTAAGAAACATTGCGGATAAAGACTCTTCCTCTTATAGCTTTCCCTTCCTCTCACTGTTTTCTGGAGAATTTACAACAAAAAAGTAAATGAGTTAGATAGTTGGTTAAAAATAAATATAAAAGGTGGGCTGTGCTTTCTATAAAAGTTATGCTGTGATTCATAGCTGCATGTCCTTATGGGGTAGATCTCTAGAGAAAAGCTTCCCCACATCATGACGCTCCCACCACCATGTTTAACTGTGGGGTGGTGTTTTTAGGGTTATGTTAGTAGTTTATATTCCCCAAAAAGTCTGCATTTAAGTTCACTTTTGCTCCTCTGGACCAGAGCCTCCTTTTATTTGTCATGTCATCACCATAGCTTTGGGCAACCTAAATACCAGACTTCTTAGGACTTTTATCAATAACTGCTTTCTTCCACCAATTCCTCCATGAAGTCCAGATTTCTGAAGCACATATAAATCAGATTTCCTGTATACCGATTCTCCCTCCTTAGCTGGAGCTCTCTACTGCTACTCCAGTGTTACCAAGGGCCTGTGGGCTGCCACTTAGATTAATAATCTTGTTAGAAACATGGAGTAGATGGCAGGGACTGCAGTTTTCTATTTGCAGATGACAAGTTAACCCTCCTTCCAGAGTTCTTCAAAGCTTGATGTGTTGTTTTATAAGTTTAACTTATTAAATCTTCTTTCCTGACCTGCCTGCTGCCCCTTGATCTTCATGATGCCGTTTGTTCTCTGGTCTGTGAGGCCTTGACCAACGAGTTTGATTCACACATTAGTGCTTTGTTATAATACAAGGTCTGCTTTTATAATGTTATGTGAGACAAATTAGCATCTTTTTCTTCCATTTTCCGATTATACAATATTCTTTGTTCACCTATCAATAAATAAAACCCAATGCATAGAAGTATGTGTGATGATATATATACATTTTATATGCAAATTACAAGAATGCCAGATGATGGTTAGTTATTTGCCTGACTTTTGCACAGATTAACATTGAGTGCAGTCAAAATCTGCCAAATGAATGAGAGAGTTTTGCTTCCATGGGATGGAGATATGAAGATGAAAGGCTGGAGCAGGTCCTGGTCAGGTCAAGCTGATTCACCCAAACAAGACACCATGTTGAATGAAAAAAGCTCTGAGAGTTAGAAACACAGAATAAGACAATAAGGAAGAAGGAAGCCGCATGTTCTGTCTTGTGTAATGTGTGGATGAAATCTCTAACATGGTCCAGGTATGAGTTTCCACTAAAAATCATGCAGCAAAATAAACTCCAGGTTCGACCTTTGTCACCTCACCCCAGGCCAGACTGATCTTAACAGCAAAAGTCAAAGTACACAAATAACTGAGTCCAAGTGGAAGTCATAAAGCAGATAAGAGTTGTGCTAATGCCAGCTAGCGCTGCATGGTTCCCCTGCTGGGCCAGCCCTGGTTGGTTTGTTTCATGAGTCAGTGTGTGGATGCATGCATTTTATTTGTTTTAGAACATGTATAAGCTTACACAAGCTCACACGGGAAACTGTGTTCATAAAAGCTGGTTGGCAGAATATAAATCAAGAAGAGGAATCTAATGATGTCTTTGGTGAAGTTATTTTTGTGAGCGACAGCAAGGGAGCTCAGATTCTACAGGATCGATTTAAAGACGTTTCCTCTCAACCAGGGTCAGTTACGCAAACTTGAGTGTTCGGTGATTAGATACATGTGTTTTGGGAGGGCACCGCAGTGTTAATGTTATTGCACCTTGTTGTTATGCTAATGGCCCAGGTGGGACTGCAACCAACTCAATGGCCTCACATACAGACACATTCCTATAATTAGGGCCGTTGACACACCCCTGACACAGGAGCTTAAAGCAAATAGACCTGGTTTTAAGGAATTAAGATGATTTATTAGCAATTGAAGAAGATGTTTAAAAAAGAAATTAGATTATATTTTATAAAAATGCTACCTTATCATATTTCAAGGAAATAAATCGGTATTGAAATAAATTAAAGCAGCAGAATTTTAAAATGACAGAGTGTTTTCGTTTTTACTCAATTAGGTTTAAACTTGCAGTCTTGGTTCATATGCATATAAAACAGTTTGCAGCTATTCTTCCACACCAACTGTAACATCTCTCCGACCAAATCAGTGTAAACAAAGCTCCAATAACTATAGGAACCACCAAGTTACCTGCAGGCATTTAGTCTAAAGCTAAAATTATTTTCTATATTAAGTCAGTGATGTTATTCCATTGCAAAAACAGCAGCCTGCATTTTCGTCAGACAGAGGAGGAATATAGGACACAACATCATGATGGCTGTGGGTGAAGATCTATCCGATGCCTCTTGAACATACAGCAGTTGATGAATGAATATAGCAAATGAAGGAAAACATGAATCAGAAGCCTGCATTCATCATGTTACATTATTCCAGACTCCTCTTCAGTTTTTAGAGTAAAATATGCTCTGTTCTAACCTCTAAGCACGAAGTAACGTGGTTGATGATTGGTCAGTTGCTGATCAGCTTCCTGTATACATTCACAGGTTAATTACAACAACCTTCCTTTAAACAGTTTGGTACAGCAGGACAGAATATCATTTTATCACCGTAAAGCAGAAATCTCAAACTAGTGACCTTTAACCTTGTGTTTTTCAAAGCTGGCCATCAAGGCTCACTGTCTTGTATGTTTGTCCTGCAACCGGTTTGAAAAAACATTTTTAATAAAGTGACTGAGACTCCCTCAGAAATAGAATGAGGAGAGGCTCAGAAACCACATTGAGAGGAGTCACCTGAGGTGGCTAGGACATCTTTTTCGATCAACACCTCCCTAGGGACGTGTTCCTCATCAAGTCTCACTGGGAGGATGAGAGTACGACTTTGTACACGCTGGCCTGGAAGCTCCCCGGCTTCCCCCAGGTCTGCTGGAGGAGGTGTCAGGGGAGAGGGAAGTCTGGGAGTCTCTGTGGGACTGGTGCCTCTGCATCCCGGTCCCAGATAAGTGGAAGACAACCCAACGAGATGAGACCAGATTGTTTTCATACTGGGTCCTCAGTACCCACTGTGCTGCAGGTGTTTCTCTGTCTTCACACTCCAGATTCAGCTGATTAACAGGCCTTTGATGACTGCTGAAGAGGGAATGCAAGCATTTCAAGCAAAGACACATCTCAAAGGTGCAGGAAAGTCGGTCTCAGGAATACATTTGAAGACCACTGTTTTAGTTTCCCAGGTCCATCCTTCATCTATACTAATTCTAGCAGGTTGTGGGCGCCTTTTTGTAGTAATCACTGGAAAGGAGGTTGCCAGACTATTTAAGGCAACACAGAAACATTAAGGACAAACATGCATGGGCACACTACACCAGTGCTCTCCAACTCCTGGCCTTGAGATCTACTACCCTGCAACTTTTAGGCACATCCTTACTCCAGCCAACCAGAATCAAAAAAGTGGCTCATCACCAGGCACTTTACCAAATCTATTGGCATGGCGATCAGACAATCAGTCATTTGTTTCAGCTGTGTATGGATCTCAAGGTTGCAGTTGGAGTCTGCTGTACCACACAGTAAAGGCAATTTAGGGTAGCATGCAAAATCAGTGCAGAAAGAGCCCAGGCCAGGATTTGATCCCATGATCTTGCTGCTTGCTACAATGCAATGGTCCTACCATCTGTGCTATTTTTCAGCACACCTCAGTTGATTACTGACTGAAAGATTTTTGGAGAACTGCAGTCAGCTAAATCAGGTGTGTTAAGGTAAAAAACATAAAAAATGACTAGGTTTGGAATTCACTGCTTCACACTATTGATGTAGCTCTACATTAACATACCTAAATATAACCTCTGCCTGGAAGTTCTGGCTTAAAAATTTTTATTAGTAAAAACTTGCTTACAGTTAAATGTCTTTATTCATTTTTAAATAGTGTTGTTGTGAATTTACTCTTAACTTTAAACATTCTCTAGTACATCTTGATGAGCACAGCTACCAGCCTTCATTTAAATCCTGTTCAGTGTTATTATTTTACAGCTGTCTGGGGAATCTTCAACATCACATTTAGTAGGTGAGGACAATTCAAAATAAAACTTTGCCTGAAAAGTTAAGCTTAAATCCCCCCCACACCACCTCGTCCAGGATCAGAGTCTCCCTCTCACCTTTTTATCTGATGACATCAGTGATAGGGCCGATCCCTCCTGGTGCCCCCGGGTCCAGATATCACTGATAGCCCACTGCATACTGATGTTAATGGAGAATACCGGGGCTGGCTGGTGCCTGACAGCTGATAACAGATAGTGGAGGAATTGGGGGAGGGTTCTGGTTGGGGCGAATGCTAATCATCTTGGAGAAGTTAGGTTGGAGGGAAAGTGAGGTGGATTTAAGGTCAGGATGAATGGGTGAGGTGTGGCTGGTG